TGAAGATGTGATGTGGTGTGGTGTGGTGTGGTGTGGTGTGGTGTGGTGTGGTACGGTGTGATGTGGTGGTGTGGTGTGGTGTGATATGATGTGGTGTGGTGTGGTGTGATGTGATGTAGCTGGGAGTGGTTGGTGCTTCCTTTGGCTGCAAAGACTGGGGTTGATCCTCATGATAGGTGAGAGTCCAACAAAGAGGACAGCCCCACAGAACAAACAAAATTTAAAGCAAACAAAATGAATCCTTCTTCTGCTTATGCTAAGTGTCCATTTTACTGGTCTGTAACACAGATAAGCTGAACGAGACATCCAGGCCGATGGTGCCATGGACTTAGGCAGGGCCAGGGTGCTCCTCTGCGCTCACACATACTCCATGATGACTTTGTTCATTATTTACTGTGGACTGTAATGAAGGCATGCTCACTCACATCTTCTCTGAGATTTTCTTCCTTCTCTCTGGCTTCCCACATCATACACTATCACTCTCTGCTGTTCACTCAGCACGTTTCCTTGGCAGCAGGAAGTGATGGGAATGGCAAGAAACTGCAGATATGTTCATGCCTTTGACTTGCCAACAAAATCAATCCCTCCCTAGATTCATATGTCCATTTGCTATGGGAAAAACTGCAACCGGAGGTCTTGGGGTTTTTTTAATGAATGAAAGTCAAGGATACTGACTGAATTGGAATGTTTACCTGGTAAAAGGTTGAATGATACCTAAGTGGCCCTGTGATGTCAATGCATTCATGTCATTGCAAAGGTTACGCTCTTTTAAGAGCATGAAAGTTTCAGTGCATGTCTATAATTAGTTAGGCTTAGAAAGCATTTAGGAAAGCCTCACCTGGAAATGCTCTGAGCTGTGATGTAATACCATATTTAAAAGTAATGCTTTAGCCCATGTGACTTGCAAAAGCTTATGATAAACACGACTTTCTACTATTTTCAGTAATTAAATTTGGCCCTTCTCATGAGAAATAACCACATTATCATAAATTCCACACTTTGACTTAGAGAGTAAAAAGAGAGAGTTGCTTGTACTTACAGGAGGCCCCAATCCAATTGGCTCTGCTTGCAGATATTGCCCCACGGACAATGGTGCATTGTGGTATAAAGCCCTTCTTGGTGATGGCGCCCTTATGGTGGTCATGTATCTTCTCTCTCTTCTGGGGGAGAGGTCTCTTCTTGCACTGATGTCTTTCCCAGGTGACAGTGGCCTCCTCGGGGACAAATGTCTTCTTGGAGAACTATCCCTTTGTGACATCTCTCTTCTCAACGCAGCTTCTTTTCTTGGCGAAAGATGTCTCATGGGTGACAGATCTCTCCTGGGTGACAAATGTCTTCTGGGCGATAAATCTCCTTTGGGTATCAGATACCTCTTTGGTGAGTTATCTTGACAGGGCGAAGAGTCATATCCTGGAGAGGAATGACGGCTGGAGGGTGAGAAATCCCTTGGGGAAGAGCTGGGCTCTGAGGACAGCACATAATCTTCTTCCATACAGCTAGGTATGTCCAACTTGTCTTTGTCCGGTTCCGAGTCTGTGCTTTTACTCTGGAATAACCTCTGGTATTCTGTCATCTGGGTATCTTCACATGAATCACTGGGTGTCATAAGCTGAGTAACCTGAATACTTGGCAAAGTAACCAAATAACTGATCAGTGAAGAATGTCCCAAGGAACCATCTGAAGGAGCCCCATGGGGTACAGCGCCAACATTCACAGGCAAGGAGGAGAACCTAGGAGGCTGAGGACTGGTGCTTCTGGATCTTGTTTTTGGTGTCAAATCTCCCTGGTCGTCAAAGTCATCATCATCTTCATCATCATCATCGTTATCATCTCCATCCTCACCATCCGATTCCTCAGCATCTGAGAACTGATGGTCAGTTGAAATACTGGACATGCTATTCTTCTCTGTGGCTTTGTGCAAGTCTTCCATGTTTTCTGAAATAAGTGAACAGAGATAGTGAAGATCAAGATCCAGAGATCCTGGCTAAGAGTCACTACAGGCCCCACCTCCTTCCAAAAGCTTTCTTAGCCCTTCAGTTTCAAGGGATAGTTCTGCTTCTGAACAATCTGGCAGCAGTTTGGCTATGCGATCTTACCCTACAACGGGACTCCATAATACAGCCTCATATCTCAATACATCACCCTAATACTCAGAAATCCCTCAACAAACGAGTATAACTTATATTGTCAAAAGTGATGAAAAAAGAAAAACAACCCATCTGTACAGGTACAGATCCATGTGTAAAAATCAGACCAAACTCATGGTTGTTAAAGTCTGATCTAACGCATGGCAACTACATGTGTTATGGGGCAAAACTGCTTCATTGTATCGCCTTGACTGTAATCTTTAAATAATTCTGATGGCCTAGTGAGTAAGGAGTTGTGCTGCCAACCCAAAGACATATGGTTCAAGTTCACAAACTGCTCTTTGGGAGAAAGAAGGAGAATCTTTCCTACATGATTTAGAGTCTCTGAAAATTGTTGGAGGGTCCACTATGAGTTGGTTCCAACTCCACAGCATTGACTAAATATGGAAACTGATCACCAGGCTTTTCTTATGTGGAGCTGCTGGATGGACATGAACTGCCTACCTTCAGGCTAGCAGTCTAGAGTAAATTGTCTGTGCTATCCAGGCAGCTGTGTGGATTCCCCGGCATAGTGACAGCCAGGCCACAGCTGAGACCAGAGTCCAGACAGAACTGAGCACCCTCTGCAAACAGAGATTTCCAGCCAGTTTCCCACCCAAGGGGAGGCCGTGTCTGAACTTTGGTCTTAGTTTAAAGATTAAGCTTACCCATTGTTATGTTGGCAACACTTACATATAAGAAAAATATAGTCTCTGGAAATTGAATTTTTTAGGAGGATTGGCTTAAACTAAATAAAAACCATAGGGAGACAAAGAAAGGGGCCTTTTCACAGTGCGAAGCTGTGAGAGGACCTCTGCCTCAGACTTCCCTCTTTTTCAGAATTCGTTTTCTCGTGTCCCTGCTTTCTTTCTGTGTCTGGTCTGCAGTACAGCTCCAGCTGAACTATACACCAGGAGGCCATGCTGATCTGCAGGGTTTCTACTGAGTTAAGGCAGTGATGGTTACTTTTCTCCCCTACCAGTTCTCCTCTTAATAAGAATAATTACACATTAGAAGAGTTTTCAAATTTCCCCCTAAACGTATAAAACTTAAATAACCATCACAATGAAAGCAGAATTTTCATTCCTCCTTGGTTCTAAATGAAAGCATTTTCATAAGACCGTTTCCCTTCTCAATCACAATTGAAATATACTTATTTCCACTCAACCAATTTCAAGTAATTCAATGTGTCAGATTCCTTGTTCACATTTCATGTTGATTCACTTTTGCCTAAATCCACACTTCTTTTGCTGCCTCAGCCTCCACGTGCACCATGAGGAAGTCAGCCAGTGAGCCTCCAACACACACCTGCTTCCTCGGCTTCTGTGTCTTCCACCGACGTCATTGAGACGCCCAACTCCAGGCATTTCTTCATGTGCGCTTTAGATTTCATATGCTTTGTTAGGTTTCCTATCAAGCACATCCAAACAAAAGGAAAAGAGATAATTGGTCATCCAAATGCGATTGTTTTTCCAAAACTCAATCCTGAAATGCACTAACTCAAGATGACTTGGAGGGCTTTCTAACATTACCTCTCGCATCAAAATGCAAAGGAACACTCTGGTTTCAGAAGCTGTAACATGCTGGGACCTTCTTTCCAATCCCAGGTTTTCACCCATCTAGCACACATGCAGAAGGCAAAGGCCAGCCAGCTGGGCTGCGACAACAGGCAAATCTCCCCAGGATAGTATGCTTACTTTACAATTCTGAGACATCAGAACATTCTCAAAGGGTGTCAAAGAAACTCCACCAATGCCCAAAGTGTGAATTATTTCCCAAGGATCCAGGACAGTGGCTTAGAGAGAAAATTAATTTGGGTTTTAAAGAAACCCAAAAAGGCACCATTTCTGCTTCACTCCAGTTTCCCCTGCTACTATTTCCAGTGTTTGTAACTCAGCATATCAGAGATTGTGAGAATGGCACAGGATCGGCAAGGCTCAGATGTTAATAAAGGGCTAGGAGTCCTAGTCGACACACGAGGGCCTTGAAAAGATGTCAAGGCAAGGCCTGGTGAGTCAGTGGTTATTTCCTAAAAACCAAAGGTCACATCTCCTAATCTCTCAGGCAGCAGGACAATAAAAACCCTAACCCTAACCCTAACCCTTTAAAAGGCTTGACTGTTAGATGGTGGATGGAATGTAAAACACCTTACATTTATCTCTTTTGAAATGCAAATGAACACTCCTACCTCTTTTGGGGTCTAAAAAGAGATAGGCCTTAATATAGATATTCATTTTCATTAAAAAGACACAGATATGAAGATATATATTTATCTTTCTGATAAACTAGGAAAACAATTTAGTATCCTTGACTACAAGTGCACTTTTCTGGCCAAGAGAAAAAAGGTATACATTTTTCTATTAAACATTATTTTATTTGATATATAGTTGCATTGATAGGCTTCAGAGCAGGTTAATTATTATGCAAATTAAAAGGCCTGGAAATGAGGTAGGACTGCTAACGAGGTGTTCACAGCATCCATTCGAGCCAATGTAACTCGACTTCTACAAAAGTCAGACCTACCTCGAATCATTGTGTTTTGTGTTCTGACAACACAGAGTTTCTAAACAACTTCAGGATTCTATAAAGTGACAGAACTGTAACTGAAACATTGTCATTCTGTAAAATTTTTTATATGAATCTTTTCTACTTGTTAAAAAGAGATTTTTAAAAAAGAGACTATTACTTCACAGCAAGTCCTAATTTTATGAGACGATCTAACCGTGTGGCCCTCGCATAAGAAAATCGTCTCTGTGCACATAAATACACGGGAACTGAAGCTATCAAATTTCTATGCATAATTAATGCAGCTGTGGATGGAACTGCTCACCTGGGAGCCTGTGGATCTCTACATTATTCATGAACTTGAAACTGACCATGGACTCATGCTTTTCCCCCTGACTGTTGCCTTGCTTTTCTAATGCCTTGGCATGCACTGGCTCCCTGTAGCATTTTAGTGCTGGTACAAATATAAATTAGACCGCATAACATTTCTACCATGAAGTAATAGCTATCCAGGCAATTCTTAGCCACTTCCTTTGGAGACTTCTGGCCTATGGCTCTTAATTAAGTGATACCAGGAGTCTAACAGTCTCACATACATCCTTTGATCACTTTGATGAAGGAGAAAATACATTTCACGGAGTCATAATTTCACAAACAAAACCATCTTCATGTCAATAGATGTGAGCTATGGCATAGCACTCAGAATCTTTAAGTAGCCATATAAAAGCATCATTCTTTCAAAAAAGCCCATCCCCATACCTTTTGTTTTGAAGGCGAAGTTACATAACTTGCAAACGTAGGGTCGGACATCAGTGTGAGTGCGGATGTGTTTTTTGAGCATGCTCGGCTTCTTACAGCGGATCCCACATTCCTCACAAATGTACTTCCCGCGTCCACGCCCTCTCACGTATACATAATCCTCATTTGATTTGTACCTGCCACAAAACGTGGAAATATGATGTTACATATCAACCCCAAAGCCAATCTTTTCTATGGTAAATTATTATCAGGGTCCTTTACCAAAAAAAAACAACAAAAAACAAACCAAAAAACAAACACCAAAACAAAACCCCTCAATATTATTTCTATGAAATCTTTAAGATTCATGCCACAAATACCAGAAAGCCTTGACCCAAGTGGGCCAGATATGTGGGTGGTATTGTAAACAGAATGTCCTTCTTTCTACTAGTTACATTCATCTAAACCTGTTTCCCCTTAGTTCTTCTATTAGGGGCAAATATATAGACTCAGTGTGTGGGCTTAAGTGAGCTTCCTGCTCCAGTGATATGCAGACTTGCTTAATTTTAGATTTTCGTGCAGCCTCAGCTGGATTCGGACCACATACCTTAAGGATTGCAAATGCATCACAGATTCTTACCTCTAGGCCCCTCGGGCTTCCTAGTCAATGAATAGTAAGAGGTATACCCACCATTTCCAATCATCATACATTCTCTAGTAGTATTATATTACCTTAGATATGTATCACAACTCATTCATCTTCACACACACACACACACACACACACACACACACACAACCTAAACCTGACCAAATAGCCATGACTGACAAGAGAATATTTCATTTAAAGTGTTTCCTCTATTTTTTTACAGTTTTGGCATGAGAAGGTCTCCAGCTAAGCTCCACATAAGAACTTTGGTCTACACTTTTGATCTGCTCTTCCTCAGGACCGTGAATCTGCTTTTATAGTGGAGGCTAAATTTTCACTGGCTTCCTGAAGGTGTTGTTCCATAACAGGACTTGAGATGTTATTTTTCAATCACATTTGTACTTATTTCCAGAATTATTTAATGAAGGAAGCACATCTGAAGTCCTCCCCAAACCAAAGCCAGCAGTTGTGTTGGAGTTGAGTCAGACTTTTCACACCCCAAAGGACATAGTTGACTTGCCTCCTCATCGGGTTTCCAAGACTGAATCTTTTGGAAAGCAGGCTCTCTAGTTTTCTACTGAAAAGGTGGGTTGAAACTGGCAACTTTCAGGTTAGCAGTTAAGCACTTAACTAAGGAACCTTTACTGAGGTCATATCATTCCATCAAATCAGCTGGACAAAAAAGGTTTTATTTATTAAGGGAGTAGACCAACCTCATGCTCAGCTATCACATGACAGATCATTGAGTAGCATTCTATTGGCTAATTCAGTAAGTATCATTATCTCTCAATCACTGCTAAATGGTAGGTTTATTACAATACAAAATGTCCTCATTTACTGTGGATTTACGTAAAGGCACTATAGACAGTGGTTTCATTCTCATCCTCCCCCTAATCTAAGAGCATAGACCCTTGTCTATTTTGTTGTAGAAAATCTATCATCAGGAATAAAAGCAAGTTCAATTCTAATATCACAATCCAGTGAAGTTATGGGAGAAAAATCTATAGATGTTTTAATTTGAACATTATCTGCTTTTGTGTCAGTACCAATCCAGAGGAAAGCTGAGCAGTATGAAGATTAAACATAGACAATTTTACACACTTTTGATTCTTTAATTTTTTTTCCCCTTCCACAAGAAAACTCTGACTTCAGCGTGTTATTCAAAGGTATTTGAATTTTACATTTTCACTCACATTGCTTTTTTTTAAAAAAAAATAAAAATTTCCCATTCACACCGTAATGCTTTTTGTAATAAAATAGAAAAGATCTTAGAGATCCAAAGCATCTTTCACCTGGTAATGTCACTATCCCTTATCCCTAAACATAAAAAATGTCTTTAAAAACTTCAGAAAAATAGAAATTATCTAATAAAAGTCTACTTTAAGTTATCTGTATTATTCTGTAGTCTTTAGACAATTTTTCTTCAAGGAAGGATATTTCAAGCTCCACTATAATCAGCCATCATCATAGTGGTTGGGGCACATACTTTATACACAAATAATGGAATTTTGTTTTTTACATTTAAGTTGGATAATTAACTTCCTTCCAGAATTAAAACAGTAACAGTCTCTATAAAAATAGAATTGTGCATTAGAGGAACTGGTCCAAATAAAGCACAGATCACATAATAGTCCTGTAATCTCAAGAATCTACTTGACAGGAGAATGAATGAATGAATAATGAAAAGTTGTTCAACAATCTCTTTAGTTAAATACCAAATTTATGAATAACATAATACAGAAGAATACATTTTTAAAAACATTGTCACTAATGCTTTATTTTTAAGAAGTTACCACCTTTGTAATTAGCAAAGTAGAGGAGGTACTACATTGCTTGAAATGAACCTCTTGACCAGGCCAGTTTGAAGTTGCATCACAGATTATTAAGAAACCTGGCCCCTACCAGGGAGGGAAGAAAGAAATATGGCCACAATCCTTTTGGATCATCGAGATACAGCAATAAAATATGCACATACGCTTCTTCACCTGTGTCCTTTGTGGAGATGAGTTCCCCAAAGCACTGAGTAACTGAAGGTCTCGCTAATCTAGGGGTGCAAACACACTGCTAGGGAGGAGCTGCTGAGAGTAAGAGGTTTGATTCAGCCACAGGGGCCTTTCCATTTCTGAGGAAAGATAAAAGCTGGATTTCTCAGGTTTGTGTTACAAGAGGAGGGATGGACGACAAAAGATACTCATTGAGACACACTTCACAGACTACAAACAACTGTGATTTTATGGTAAGTGTAATAGGCATTCAAATAAGGCCAAAATCTAAGGCAAAACCAACTTTAATAATCTACTTCCAGTATGCAAAAATTTTGTATGAAATCAATACTCTATCGCATTAAACAATTAATATTTCATAGTCAAACAGTAATATCTTCTTCTCCTTTGAATGAAATTGGAATAGATTCATGCCCAAGAAAATACAGAAATTATGGATCAGTCACAAAGATAATTCTATTTCTAATCTCCAAAACGTGGCTAATGTGTTTAGAGTTTTTAAAATTTATGTCTAAAGTTTTCAATCTATGTGATTGGATTAAGACACATTTCTATCCAAATCTAAACTTGTTAAATATTACACATGTTATTACTTTTTTTTACTGTACACAGCTAAAAATCCCACCAAACCTATTACTTGTGTTTCTATAAATCTGAACTCAACATTTAAAAAGACATTTCTAAAGACTGACAACAACAAAGACTGAGGAAGTGTCAATAGCAGAGTAGAGTGAAGTGACTTGACAGTTGATTGCAATGTGGGGAATCCTAGCAGGGATTCTGAACAGAAAGAAAGCCATCAATGGAGACACTGAGGACACCTTAACAAAGCCTGAAGTTCAGGTAATCATGAAAGCAGATAAATAAATAAACAAATTCCTAGGACTACGCATGAGTCCTGTTGTTGTTGTTATGTGCCGTCGAGTCGCCTGCGACTCATAGCGACCCTATGTACAACAGCCCTAAACTCCGCTCTGTCCTGTGCTGATCGCACCGTCTCTGACACTCCCAACCCAATTATCCCAGTCACTGAATCAATCCACCTCATAGAGGGCCCTCCTCTCCTGTGCTGTCCCTCCACCCTCCCAAGCATGATGTCCCTCTCCAAGGACCTGTCTCTCCTCACAACATGTCCAAAGTATGTTAGACGGAGCCTCAGAATCCTTGCCTCCAAGGAGCCACCCGGTTTAACCTTTTCCAGGATAAATCTGTTTGTTTTGTAAGCACCTAAAAATACGTCCATTATCAATACAACAAATACCCATGAAATACTTTAATGGACAACAAACACAGAAGACATGAAGAACTCACCATTTTAGCTGATTGCATAATAAATGAAAAGTATATATATTTAGGGTATAGGTGCAAACCATACAGAACAAGATAGTTTCATTAAAGTTAGGTTATAAAGGTAAGGCTATACTTCTGAAATGTGCAGAGAAAGGAAACTCACTTTATGCTTCTAAATCAAGTAGATATAATTTTTTTTCTATATAGATATTCAAGACCAGTTATTTTGGCTTATAAACATTTTAAATTTGTACTGATGTTTACTTACCCTCCTTCAAAAATTTTAATCCGAATTGGCTCAGTTTGTTTGGATCCAATATCTTTGTCTCCATGACTATCACTTTTCCCTCTTTCTTTTAAGATATTTCCCACTAGTTTCCTTTCTAATTTGCTGCCAAATAAAAATGGTGTATCAGGTTTCATCTGTAGGACAAAAAGAGAGAATCATTTCACACACTTTCTTTCAGATAGAAGGAAAGGGGGGAAAAATCACACACCCCATTTCTATAACCTATACAATCACACACCCCATTTCTCTTTTATAATCTCTCACAATTAGCCAAAAATTTATGCTAAATGGCCAGGGTGGTCATGCTCTGTCCATGTAAAATAATGAACACTTGGGATAAAAGGGAATGGCAGCTTCCACAGAATAAATCTAACATCTCTTTTAAAAAGCAGTTGGTTGGTATTTACATTGAGATTGTTAAAACAACATACAAAGTTGTTCTGAAAAGTAACAATTGAAAAAAATCCATATTATTTAAGGAAGTAGTTCTAAAAATTATTGAAGGGAAAATGATAATAAAACTAAGTCACTCATATACATTTTATATTTGCTTCATTAATAATTTTGCATAAATGCCAAAGTGTTCTTTGTTCATATTTTTGTAACTTTACATGCAGGATATTAGTTGTTCATGTGAGAAAAAGCCAGATAATAACTTGGAGAAAAATAAGTTTTGGAAGAACTCTACTAAAAATGAATGTGAAGGAAACGAATCACAGGTGAATAAGCTCTTCAAAGTTTGCCAAATTCAGTTTTGACATCCTTCATGTTGCCTTCCTGGTGCTTTGGTTTTGGTTTTGTTGTGTTTCTCTCCCCCCTCCTCTCCCCTGTGCCCCAGCACAGGGTCTACACACTATTTTACAGTTCCCTGAAATCTTAACATTTAAAAAAGTTCACCTGCTAGATCAATAATACAGGCTACAAAGGAAAAGAACCCAGAGAAATCAGCCTCAGGAGGAGAATTTTCTCTAGCTTCTGGCCAGAGAAGATTCTGTCTTTGGAGTTATCTCTGGGACTTCATGGCTAACAGAATAGTCAAAGGACTCTTTGACCCAGTGTAAGGGTGTTATTGAGAGGTCCCCCAGCTCTGACTGGAACGTTCCTGGTATGTTTTAGACCTTACAGCCTTTTTCTAGACAAGTCTGCTTAGCAATCAAACCCACAACCCACAATGCTTTCTGAAAGAGCATTTGTTACCTGAGCAAACTGTTTCCAAGCACTCGATGATGTAAGCTTGCCGGTTCCAGGTCTATGCATAGCAGCCAGAGTATAAATTTCTGCGGTAATTTTTTGCTTGGACCTCAGAAGAGCCAGCGTGGTTTTGGTGTTCAATCCTGATGGGTTTGGGTTACAGGCACTGATGCACCATGAAGCATACACAGAGGATTTGAAGGTGGCCTGCTGCACATAATTGGGTTTTGTATAATTCAAGAAGCACCAACTCACAGTAGTTGTTGTCCGCAGGCTGGGGAACTGAAGAATTTGCTGGAAATCTGCCACGTCCGTGAGAAGGAGAGTTGAGTTTGCCCCTTTCCCACTCGGGCCTGATGCCATCTGGACCAGCATGCCAACAGGCAGCTTCTGGCTCTTGCCTTGACCTTCAGGCTGACTATCCCCTGGTGGCAACGAAGAACTCTGGGGGCTCATGCTCATATCAGATGCGGTCTCATCGATATCTAACTCATCTGATGACTCTTTGCTTTCGGAGTGGCCACTGGACCTCTGTCCCGGGGGTAGGGTCCTGGAGCCAGAAAGCATCTCCCTGCCGGGTGGGAATGGCTCTCTGGAGGGTGTACTGGCAGATGGGTGGTCTTGAGATGAGGAGGGTGACAGTGAGGAGAAGGAAGATGACCTTGACTGTGAGCCATCCTTCGGCTCTGAGGCACAGCCTTGGCGGACCAGCTGGGGCTTCTGCGGGCGGGAGAGGTCCTTCTTGATGTCGGAGTTGGTCAGCTCCACAGCGCTGAGCTCCTCCACGATCTGGCCGTACATCTTTTCCTCCTTGACCCTCTTCTGCTGCTTGGTTTCCATGAAGAGTTCTAAGCTGCTGGCTGGAGAAAGCATGCGTTTGCTCCCTCCCAGGGTAGCTACACCATCAGAGGTGGACGGTAAACATAGCGGGATGGTGGACTCCAAGCCCAGGGGCAAGGTCTGAGGTACTTTCCAAATGGGGTATTTTTCCAAGCCCGAATGCTGCCCTAACACCTGGGCGATGTTAAACCCTATCCCTTGCATGGCTGCGTTGGTCACCAGTGTTCTTTGCGTCATATTCTCGTCAACTTTGCATATGACAATCGCAGGGCTGTTCTGCCCAAGAATCTGAGAAATGCTTGTGTACATGACACTCCCATACGAAGGGACGTGAGTCTGGATGCGCACAGGAACCACCGTGCCCGGTAGGGACTGTAAAGGCCCAGCGCCTGAGGAAGCAAAATCTTCTTGGAACAGCTGCTCGGATGGCGTGTCCGCCGACTTGGTGCTTGAGTCTGAGGGCAGCTTCGGAAGCAGGGTCTTTGAGTGCAGCCCAGACGTTCCTGAATAACAAGGATAGCTTTGCTCTTTTGCATGCACATAGTCTGCAGACTTCTTCCCAGTGTGCTCGGACACGTGCTCTAAGGGGTAGCTAGGATGCATTTCCGACTGGAAGGCAGGCTTGCCGTAACCCTTCTGAGGGTGCGGGGCAAAGGGTGGTGGGAAATGGCCTTGCCACCAGGGAGGTTGTTGAGCTGGCAGGTGAACCATGCAGACGGTGGGGTACTGGAACTGAAAGAGGGCGTTCTGGATGGGGGAAAAGGGAAGCGTCTCTTGATGGGGGAATAAACGAGGCTGTTCGGACAAGTGCTTGCCGGCCAGGTAAGGTGCGGGCTGCATCAGGGGGTTGCGCAAAGATTCCTGACTGTCCATGTGAATGATCTGCTGTGGGGCCAGGTGGAGGGAGCCCGAGGCGAGTGGGGTACAGGGCCCCACAGGTTGCTTCCCGGGGTCGTCGGGTGGCAGGGGAGGGAGCACGGCAGAGGGGCCGTGGTGCCACACAGCCCTGAGGCCTGCGTGCAGGTGCTCCATCTGCTCCTGCTTCACCCCCTGCTCTGCCCCAGCTTCACCCTGGGCAACCTCAGGGGAACCGCTGAACGAGGCCTGTCGCACCAGGAAGCACTTCTTCCTCTCTCGGGATGGTGACAGGGTTGAGGTGGACGCTCCGGCCACAGGAGCATGAGACAGGTTGCCATAATCAAAGGACTTGCTCCGGATTTCAGGGACCTCCGTCGGGTGAGGGCAGGGCATCTGCTCGGAGGAGCAGCGTCGCATCTCTTTCTGGTGGTGATGGCCAGGGACAGACAAGGAGTAGGAGCCAGCAGGGACAGTCAGGAACTCGGAATGCTTCCCGAGTTCATCCTGCCTGGGAGGGCCGGCGAGCTTCACGCTGTCTTCTCTCTCAAAAGACATGGAAAAGCTGGAACAGTGGGATAAGTTGCTCTCTTGGCTGGGGCTGCGGGAGAGGCCAGTTCCCGTGGACTCAAAGCTGGACTCCCCAGAAGAATGTTCCATGTCTGCCAGTCGCAAACGCTTCTTCTTCGGGGGCAACTTCTCAGCTGGGAGCTGGGAGAGGGTTTCACTCCTCTGGGGCCACTGGAATTCCTCCACAGGCTTTTCTGGCTCCTTGCTCTGGGCCTCCTTCTCCTTCTCTGGCTTGTCAGGCTCTTCGGTGACACGGATCTCAGGGACTTGAATGTTGTGCTGGCGAACCAGCCTGGGCTGGGCGTGACAGGACTGCTGCTGGGCCGGCTGGGCCGGGGATGGCTTCCCCCCGCTCTCCGCACTGTCCCCCTGGGCAGCCCACTCCGGACTCACTGGGGCCTCGGAAATCTCACTATCACACGTCTCCGATGGCGAAGAGGCTTTATCCTGTGGGCATGCGGAGAGCTCGGTCGACTCTGACCTTTCGAAGGAGTTGGGCCTGCTCAGAGAGTTGGTGTGCTGAATCACAGAAATCACATTGCCAGGTGGCTTCCGAGCCCCCAGGTCTGACATCTTGTCTGAATCAGGGCCCGAGGGTGACTCCTCTGACCCCAGAGAATGGCTCCCTGATGACAGCTGGGGTCGGCCCAGGTCAAAGCGCTCAGAGTGCCCCAGAGAGGGATTCTCATGTCCACCCATGGCGAAAGCACCCCGGGCTCCTTCCTGCACCTGCAATTTGGGGTCATACTCTGAAGTCATGATGGCCATGGGCGCGCTCACAACACTGCTGCAAATCATGGGGGTGTCCTCCTCATCCCCGACACTCTTCTCCTTGCGGCGTTTCCGATTCTCACACGTCGTCCCAAACATGGTTGGCACGCCCTGCAATGGCACCGAGGAATCCATAAAATAGTCTCCACTGTGTTTGAAAGAACCCAGGCAGGAAATGTCCCTGTAGCTTTGCTTTGAGGTTTCGGAGTCCTCCCACTTCTTGTAGGGTTTTGGACACATATCATAGTCATACCCAAGCCGGTCCCCTGGGATCAATTTCTTCTCCTTCAAGAATGAACCTGTGATGCCTTTGGACATCCTGACATGATGCTCCGCCTCCACGTGCCCCTCCTGAACTGAAGGCAGCTCAAACGCTGCCTGCCTCCTTAACATGCGCTGAGGGGGGATCCCCACTGTCCCCGGGTAGAACACGTCGTCTGAACCTGTCATCCTTTCATCAAATGAGTGGCTCCCTCTCAGAGAAGGGGGCACACTTAAATTGGTGGCTGAAGAAGTTGGCATGGAGTTGCTTCTAATAAGGGGTGAAGAGTCGACGGGAGCTTCTAAGAGCATGGGGCTGCTGCCTGGGAAATTCGCTGAATACAGTTTTCCTTCATTTCTGATAGATGAGGCCATGGGCTGGGATTGTCGGGGCTCACTGTTGAATTTAGGGGCTTTCAGCATGGCTGCCTGGCTGGGGTCAAGGTCCCCCTTGCCCGGGAGCAGCTGTGACACGGGATCCTCGAACATTCTGGTGTTGACATGAGGCAGGGGCTCCATGAGGCCTCTCCGGCCCATGGTGGCGCCCTCCTGACTGGTGGCCGCCACACTGAGCGCATTCCTCGGGCTGAGCCGACAGTACTTGCCGAAGATGATCTCTTCGTAAGACTTGGCATTGGTGTTGGGGGGGCTGATCTGCTGCTCGGCGCTTTCTGAGCGAGAGAAGTAGCCGGAGTCGGTGCTGCCTTTGCTGTGCGGGCTCAGAAGGTTGAGCGAGGGCTCGGAGTCCTGGCCTTTCTTCTCTGACAGCCTCAGGGCCAGTTTCTGCTTCACGGTGTGAGAGTCGTCAGCCTTGGCGTGCAAAGGGTTGGGGAGCATCTCTGAGCCCACATACGGGGAGCTCTCGCTGGGCAGCGGCAGCCCACTCTTGGGGATGATCAGAATGGGCACCTTGATGGGACCCCCCAGGGTCTCCTCCAGGGAGCTGTGGTAGCTGCCCCTGCCTGCAAGGTCCAACGGGATGGGTGGCCCAGGGCTCATCTTGTCAGGAGTGTCCACAAACAGCGAGCTCTCCTCGTCCGTGTCTGTGCTCTGCTCCCCATCCGAGTGGATTTCTGCTTCGACATCAATAAAACCGGCCTCCAGGTCCAATTTAGCTACAGCTGACTCTGTGAAAGGGACCAAGCCAGCCTTAATTGCGTGCGCATGGGACTTCCTGTGCTTGTACAAATTGCTTTTTGTCTTGAAAGAGAAACCGCAGGGTATGCAGGGGTAGGGCCGCTCGCCGGTGTGGGACCTGATGTGCTTCTTGAGCACGCTGGGTTTGGCACAGGCCCTGCTGCAGTAGGGGCAGATGTACTTGCCGGGCTTCTTGGGTTTGTGCTCCTTCTTGTGAGCATCTTCGGGCTGCTCGATACTCTTCTGGGAGTACTGGCTGTACGCAGGGTTCAGGCTGGGCATCTTTTTTCTGGGATAACCGCCACCGTGGCCGTGGAGGGGAAAAGAAAATAAGTCCTCGGAGGTGACAGAGGGCAGGTGGCCGGGGAAAAGCCACGGAGGGCCTTCGAGGGTCTGGTGGGGCTTGTTGCTGTGCATGACCCCCTGTGGCAATGAGTGCTGAGGGAAGGGGAGTGAGTGTTGGCATGAGTAAGGACTCGGACGGTGCGGCGGGTATTGCTTCTCTGAGACTTGCTGGGCCACGTCACTGGGGGAGGCCGGTTTCCCAGAACCAAAGAGTTGTGCTGAGGCTGGGTTCCCGATTTGCTCAGGCTCGATTTGCGGCTGCCGCTGTCCTTCCAGGCTGCCAAAAGTGCTCATCTTAACAGCTGACTGCTCCTGTCTCCATCTACCTGACGCTTTATCTGCTTCTCCAGACCTTGAGGTAGCTTTTTGTCCTAGAGCTGTGTCCCCAGTGTCCATTTTGTTACACAAGGTCTCAAGTGCTAGTTGGTGTGAAAGCCGAGAAGACACATGGGGCACATCCAAAGCTGTGCTTTCCTTAAAGCTCCGTTGCTCCCATGTTCCGGGGTGTCTGCAAAGTTTGTTGATTGCTCTTTACTCTTTGGAACTTCCACACCCACACCGCAGTCTGTGGGCGTTACAGGATAATGTCCTTGGACCCAGGCTATAACACAGTTCTCTCCATTCTAGAAGCGTCCATCTGGAAGCTAAGTGCAAATCTCTAAAGATGTCTTATGGCATTCAGGATGAGGTGGGGGATGAGGAATAGTTTACGGAAAATTCTGTCCATCAACTAGTACAAGGTTCCACGGCTGATTTCACCAAGATGCAAAGACCTGAAGAAAAGGGAAAACATAAAGGGTGGGTCAAACCAGTTACCAGGCAAGAATTCAAAATCAGTCTTAGGTGAAACGCCAGAAACTGGGTAAAATGAAAATCATTTCACTTCAAGGAATTTTCTATCTATCTATCTATCTATCTATCTATCTATCTATCTATCTATCTATCTATCTATCTATCATCTATCTATCTATCTATCTCTCCCTCGTTGGTGTCAAGTCAGAACAGACACACAGCAGAATCTTCAGTGCGTACTCCCAGGTTACAAAGTGCATGGGAGGAGATTGCCTATCTTTCTCTTGAGAAGCTGCTGGTGGACATGAACCACCAGAGAAGTGTGGCTTTACGTCAGCATCACACCTCTACAGACTATGAAGACAATTCTCCTCAAAGTGACAAGTTACACAACTGTGTTGTTATTGTTCTGTGCAGTCAAGTTGACTCTTACATTCAGGAAATATAGAAGACCAAGTATAGCTGTTTCATTGAGATTTTTAGCAAGAAGTGTACAAACATATTGACTGGACTTCTTTCCAATGTGAAGTGGTTGGCGGGTTCAAATGACACAGTTAAGCAGCTCATATTGAAACATTATGCTATGGGGCCTCCTAGGAAGATGACTGAAGGATTCAGAGTCCAAATTTAGCATTAAATCATAAATATAAATCTCCTTCCTGTTTCTTTTCAATGCTGCTTAATTTTTATTAGAAACTAATTTAAAGAAACTCCATTTTTCTAAAAAGTATAAAACCATATAAATCTGAATCCTTCATTAAGATACATTAAGACTATTCCTAATCCAGTTTTATGATGTGCATGGTGAAGTGTTCTAAATGTGAAAGTTGAAAGTAATGAACAGGGTAGCTAGACTAAATGTACCGAGTCAGTGATTAAGATAGAATTTTAGAAAAGGAAGAAGAACGTCCTTAAACAATAAGATTCTGAAACATATATAATACAGGCAACAAAGCATATCTACAGGGACTGTCTGGGGAGAAAAATGAAATGATTACCTGGACTATTTGGAGTTCTAATGGGCATGATTGTCCTGTCGCTTCCTGGAACAAAAGAAATGAAGTTAGAAAACTCTTCATTAAGCCCTAATGTTGCTAGTTATAAATTTCAACTTCATTATACATAAGGTTCACCATACCATATTCAGAAGCACAAAGAACTGTCTTTAAATGCACTACATTAAAATGTCGATTGCTATATTGACATTGTGTCCAGAATTGAATCAGAGAGAAAATGTTATAAAAACTTCACAGTGCTATTTCATAGGGTATGAGGTTATTATATCAACACATCTCAGCCTTTTGGCAGAGTAAGGCTCATTCTGAATCCCTAGATATTAAAAAGGTTGGAAGAGTGGCTTTGGACTGATCCTTTAGATTTTCACATTTAAAAGAACAAATTTACTTTTCAGAAAATTTACATCAAGCCGAGTGAAGAATTACTCCAGTTGGCTGTGAATGTTTCAGGAAGGCCTGCAATTTACTAACTTTGAGGTGGTAAACTTAGGTTCAATTTCCAAAGGGGAATGGATGATTGGTTTAATATAGAATCCAGAGGGTTTTTAACAGTTCAATGCTATTTGTATCAATTAAGATGAAAGCTAAAGTGTTTCCTTGATGGGTATAGCAGAAATACCTATCAAAATAGGAAAATTCAAGCACTCTGGCTCAGAAATTTCATTGCTAGGAATGTATCCTTACAGATATGCATGGGACAAAGGCACAAACATGAATAAGGACTGTTTAAATAAATTATGGCTCAGTTATAAAACCAAGCCTTCTGAAAAATGGAGTGCAACTATACCTACACCACAAAAATCTGTTCAGAAGACAGTGGCATGAAGTGCAAAAATTACATATGTCTATCACAATTCTATTGCTGTGGAAGCAGGCAATAAACAGCAATTTTCTTCAATGATTCCAGGCAACTGCTAACAGTATTTCAATTGCAGAAGTGGAATCAGAGAGTCAGAGGACAGGGGGGAAAGGGGTTTCTATGTTACAGTGTGTGCTTATTTATTTATTTTAACATCAATATCTCTACTTTTGTAGAAAAATACTGACTAGTGAAAAAGAACTATCATGATCGTCAAAGCAAAATTCAAAGATAACTTAAAATTTTACTTCCATGTCCAATATGCTGTTTAACATAGAAAGCTAGAGTGATAATGTGACAATGATGATAGTAGTTGCATTTAGGAAAGGGCAAAGGTCACAGAATATCTTATAAGTTCAATACGTCTTTTGAAGGATAAATTGATAGTCTACAGATTTCCACTGCATGATCTCTGTCATTAAAAGTTTCTTTTGGCAATAGTCACGAAGCACTATAGACTGACAATTCTGCTGTCAGAAAACTAAACATGAATTCTCATCTCTTTCTTTACTGTCCCCTAACCCAGTAATTTCCCTAAGCATTCTTTTAAAAAATAGTTTTCACTCAATCATTCATATACATATTATTTTACTACATCGATTCTAATAGCTTGATTCAGTTAATCAGAATGTCTCATCAAACCTCCACTGCACTCTCCTCTCACCCACTCTATTTTATTCATCTTGGCTCCCTCCTATTTCCCATTTCTTCCTGGCTAACCTCTTCAAGGTTGATTATTTGTATAAACCTTTCCTTAGCTTTTTTAAAAAAACCTCAATCAGGCATATTTTAAGTTATTCTTAATTAAAAGAACTATAATGTTTGATCATCTACTTCACTAGAATATTTGGATTTTTACCCATTTATTTTCATTGTTTATCTCTTTCTGATAACCATACCAGATTAATTCTCTCCATATGTAAACCTCGCTCTAGTTTTCATGATGGTGGCCTTATACTTTGCTCTTTGGTTACTGACTTATTTCATTCAGCACAGCATCATCTAGACTTGTCCATGTTGTTGTGGTGTTCTTTATTTCAAGTTCAATTAAGAGAACAACATTATGAGAACAATAATGAGGATTTTTTTATAGTTTTTCAATGCTGCATGCTATTGCATTGTGTGAACGTACCACAGATTCTCTATGCACATATTTGTTTATAGGCACATGGGCTGTCTTCATCTCTTTGCTATTTTAAATTACGCTGCACTAAACATGGGTGTGCATATTATCTGTTCATACTGTGGTTCTTTTTTTTTAAAATTTATTTATTTATTTTTTCATACTGTGGTTCTTATTTCTTTAGGGTATAGATTTTAGTAGTGAAACAGGCCAAATGGAACTTCTGTTTTCAATGTTTTAAGGACATATCAGACTGCCTTCCAAAGAGCTGTTATGTACAGATGAGTCAGAATTGACCCATAGCTAATCTGGCAGTAGGTTTTCAGAGGCAGCAATACATATGGGAGGAGCAGCTGGAGGATTCAAACTACAATGGTTTGGGTTAGCAGGGAAGCTGGTCACCCACTAGGCCACCAAAGCTTGCACCATGTTACATTTCTACCAGCAGTGTAAAAACTGAAAGGAGAACTTAAAAGGAAGAACTTACATAACAATGACTGCAGCATGCAAATTTACCTGTCAATTTCAATACCCATGTCAACTAGACTATATAAAGTCAAACTTAAATTAGCTAAACTTTTTGTTTAGCTAAGATACTTAGAGTGGCATCATCTATAGAGGATTGTACTGTTAATCGAAAGGTGGTGCTTCTCTGCTGGTTCAAAACCACTAGCAGCTCCGGCAGGGGAAAATGAGCAGTCTTCTCCCTGAGATTAACAACTTTTCAGAACTAGCTACAGGGTCAGTTATGATTCAGTTCTGACTCAACAGCAATGAGTTCATTAAGGAGTTATTGTTCATAGAAATGAAACTTCTGCCCAGTTTCATATGTGAAAAACAAACACCCCAAAACACAACCAAATCCTCAGACTCAAAAAGCAAGCTCCCCGCAACATCCCAGTCATTTACTGTCAAGTCAATGGTGAGTCACAGTGACCCATCTGTGTGTCACCATACAACTGCACCCCACAGTGTTTTCAGAACTGGGGCCTTTGAGAATCAGAGCACCAGACCTTTCCTCAAAGTGGCTTCTTGGTCTTTGGAACCTGCCAAACTTTAGTAGTTAGCACTTAACTGTAGGGTATTTCCAATTCAAGAGAGAAACATGTACCCATCTTTCCTTAAATAGGGCTCAGAGGTCAGCTGGCATAATGTAGATTAGAGATCTTATTTTATAATGGCATTGATCTATGCAGTTCCATTATTACTACTGTTACTATTTACCACTTATAGTTATCACTTACCATATGCCAATGCTATTAGTTTCATATACATCATCTTACTTGATTTTTATGACAACCTACACAATAAACCCAAACCTAAACTCACTGCCATCAAGTCTATTTCAGCTCACAATGACCCTATAGAACAGAAATGGAATAGCCCGAGAGGGTTTCCCAACCTCTAAATCGTCACTGAAGCAGGCTTCCTCCACCCGTCTCTCATTTAGTAGCTGGAGGATTGGAAGTACCAACTTTTAATTTAGCAGCCAAGTGCTTTAATCACTGCACGACTGCGATTCTTTAACCTATGCTTGCTTTTGTTATGTGCTGGTTAGCTGGAACCAACTCACAGCTGACCCTCTACTTGGTGTTCAGAGGCTGTCAATCACACGGGAGGCGACTGCCCGTCTTTCTCCCACCAAGTAGCTGCCAGAGTCGAACCACCTGCTTTTGAGTTGGCAGCACAATTCATTACCCTCTAGGCCACCAGAGCTCCTTTAAACCTATGCAGTAAGTTATTCACAGACTAGGCTTTTATTTAAGAGAATTTGAGTGGCAGAACTAGAATTAAAATTCAAGTTTGGCAGGCCTCCAAGCCTAGGTAGAGATTTTGCCCTACCTCTAATTTATTACAACTTAAAACAATGTATCTTTAATAATGCCTTTTCATAAATGCTTCCACTTAACTTCTTTATTTGAAATGTGGAAATATGTACTGGCCACAGGAGAGTAGACCTGAGCTTTGTGTGTGCAATTTGTAAGGAGCTGAGTTACTAATTCAAAGGCTATGTGTCTCTGGGGTTCTAACCCACCAGATTAGAAGGGGGGAAACACAGAATCTCCTTTGGTTCAGTTTCAAAACTGGCAAACTTTATGAAGGTTCAGCTATGATTGGGTTCTGACACAAAAACAATAAAAGAAACAGAACAAAAAAAAATTGGCCCTAAAACGTCATTTCTTAGAAATCAAATCGATAAGCTAAGAAAATGTTAAAAATCTACATATTACATTAGTAACTAAAGCAGCTCCTTGCGCCCTCAGTAAGTTTTTACAACAAACTATGATTTTTTTGTTTTTCTTTTTCAAAAAAGTTTTAAGAAAAAAGTTTAAGTAGAAAATAAAGAGCCTAGAAGTGAAAATTAGGGACATGGTCACTTCTCAATCAATGGTTTACACAGAAGATAAAATTTCCCTTTAAAACAAGTATAAAATAAGTACATAAAATTTTATGGATAAAGAGACTGAAAAGTAGATTTAATAAATTATCATGTACAATATAATGCTCTTAGCTAACAATGCTGTCATTCTCATCGCCATAGGGTCAGAACTAATCCATAGCTGAATCTCCAATAAGTGTTCAGAGGCTGAAAATCCCACAGAAGGTGACTGGCCATCTTTCTCCTGTGGAATAGCTGGTGGATTTGAACTGGGTTGGCTGTACAACTCCTTATTTACTAGGCCACCAGCGCTCCCTGCAATGCTGTAATACCTTTAAAGAATCAGACAGATTTAACACTTAGGATTTACAGAAACAAAAGGTAGTGTGCATTCTGAAACTGACATATACAATTCTGAATGATTAAGGGCATATCATAAAACAGATGAACCATTTAAAATCTAAGCAAAGGCAACAGTATTTTGCAATTAGAAATCAGACTAGAACATGTAGAAAAGTAATATACAGAAAATTCATAAGCAGATATGTAATGGTCAGAATAAAGACTGTGTATGATATTCAGGTAACTGCTATTAAGTTTAACGTTTAGAAGACAGGGGAGTCCTGGTGGCATAGCCCAGAGGGAGCTGTGTTGCTAAACCAAAG